GAGATGAACCAAACCATAGAGCAGGGGTCCTCAAACATTTTAAACAGGGGGCCAATTCATGGTCCCTCAGAGTGTTGGGGGGCCAGACTGGCTGGGTGGGCATGGCTGTTGTGGCCCGTCAGCGGCCTGTGCAGATTGTAGCTGATTCCGACAACGAGGAGGCTGGTGTGGTGCTGCGCCAGCAGCCTGTGCAGCTGGCACTCAAGTCAGACAGTGAGGAGGCTAGAGAAGATTTGGTGCCAGAGGCAGGGATTCAGCCAGGGCCTTCTGAACCTCCAGAATCTCCTTTAAGTGAAGAGGACGAAGAGGAGGAGCCTCTTCTCAATGCACGGGCACGCAGAGCTGCCAAAAGGCAGGAGTGGCTCCTCAGGAGGAGGTCTCCTTGAGAGTAAGGCTTGGGGCTAATTGGTCACTCCCTTAGCCTATTTAAGGAGGAACGCCGCATGCAGCAAGCTGTAGGGAACAACTTTAGTTCAGTCTCCTTTACGTCTGGATTCTCTGCAAAATTGTTTCTGGGCTTTCTGCCAACTCTAGTAAGACTGTGATTACCTTATCTTAGAATTCTGTAGGCTCTTAAGACAGTTTATTAACAGCTTTTGGTTGATAAAGACTAAGTTATTTGAGTAAAATAAGCTTTGTATAGAGTTTGTGTGTGCTGTGTTCTTTGGGGTCCGTAGCTGGGGCAGAACAATGGCTAGCTTGTCATGTGACTGGGTAGGCATGGCTAGGTGGTCATGTGACTGGCTGGGCATGGCTAGGTGGTCATGTGACTGGGTGGGTGTGACCAATTTAGCAGTCCATTAAACAATACATACAAATTAAATTTTAATTTGTGTGTGTGTGTGTATGTACCCCTCTTTCTCTGGAGGCCAGGGAGGCCAAAAACCAGCCCATTTTTGGCCTCCTTGGCCCCCACACATCCCGTTTTCGGCCTCCTTGGCCTCCAAAACCACCTTGCTACCCAAAAACGAGCCCGGTTTTGGTCTCCTGAGGCCTCTGAGCGTCCCATTTTTGGCCTCCTTGGCCTCCAGAAGGTGGGTGGGGGCCAGCGGGTAGGTGGGGCAATGTGGACGGGGCAGCCTCATGGTCCTGCATGGGCTGGATTAATGCCTTTGGTGGGCCATATCCGGCCCATGGGTTGTAGTTTGAGGACCCCTGCCATAGAGAATGCCAGAATATGATCTTGGTGCCATCAAAGTGGCTGGAGCTGGCTCCGGCCAAGACAGTTTAATTTATCTGGTCAACACAACTGTAACTAATTGTCTGAGCTTATCATAGTTCTTCATGTCATCAGTTACATTTCAGTGTATGTGTTTTTCATGCTTTGATGGTTAGCGACAAATGTAACAAGATGGATATAGTAAGGCTCACAGGTGTGTTATCATGTGTAACAATTCAGCAAATTCCTGAGGCTGAAGTGAGGTTATTGGCTCTTGCAATAAAGAAGTAAGCTAAAAGAAGTGCAGGATGATCAGAGACTTCTGATTGGGGAAAGAGAGAAAGAAAACATTTATCTCTATAACAAAAATACTATAAATATGGGGATTATGAAAATGCAAACTTGTCATTTATTTGAGACCAGTTATGAGCTTTCATAAAGCAAAGTTGCAGTGATATAATTTACTAAGTTCTGTTAACTTTTAGCCTGTTAATAACTGAAATCTGGACCATATTAAGAAATCCTTCACACTAACCGAAAAGCATAAATAGCACCTCAATCAAATTATAGAGGCAAAATTTAAATGGTATCAGGCATAGCAACCTTAAAAAAAGAAAAGAAAAAGTAGAATTAAATCAATTATGGAAGAATTCTATAAGTATTTTATAGGCTTAATAATTCTTCGAGAAGTTGGTAGTGATCTTCCAAGGAAAATTGGAACAGTAACTCTGACCTAAAATTAGGTAAGATCTAAGAGTCGAAGCTTCCTAAATCACATTCCACAGCTTGTCATGACTGACACCATTGAAAGCCTTTCTATAATCAACAAAACACATGCTGACTTCTTTTTGCTATTCTTGTTTATTCTTGCATATGGCAACAATAATATCTCTTGTTCCTCTGCCTTTTTAAAACCAACTTGAGCATTTGGTACATCCCTTCCTATGAAGTCCTTGGTGCTCTGTAAGTTTGGTTGCTTCTTTACAGATGTTTCATTACCCAGGTACTTACATCATCAGTACTAATGGGTGTGATTTATATTTATACCACAGTATTTATACAGAGTACCTTGCCCTGCCAGTATTGGTGAGAGTATAATTTTCCCCTTGGTAGTTCCCTGATGAGGACATTGTTTAGCTGGTGTCAATCCCTGCTCACATGGATGCACTTGGCAAGAAGCTCTTTCATCCAGCCCCCAAGAGACAAGAGGGAATCCTTGGCAGGCAGTAGCAGTTTGCAACTCTCCCTGCCAGCTTTCCCCTTCCTCCCCGCTGACTTTTTATGGAAGCTGGTAGAGAAAATTGTAAAAGGTATTCACATGATTGTGGGGCCTTGGCAACCAGGCATAAGTGTGAACAGGTTGCCAAACATCTAAAATATTGGCTATGTAATTCTAGGGTTGGTACAAGTGTTTTACAAGAGCCTGGAAGTGCTTTATGGGCAGTACTTCAAATGGTCGTTAAACAACCATTATATGTCAGGGTCTACCTCATGTTTCCTGTCTGGTATACTGGTACTACATCCTTCATCTTACCTGCTCCTCTCAGGGGTGGGTTCTAAATTTTTTTTACTACTGGTTCTGTGGGCGTGGCTTATTTTGTGAGCATGGCTTGGTGGGGGGTAATGTGACTGGGTGAGCATGGCCAACTTTTTTTTTTTTTACTTTTAAAAGCATTTTTTCTACAACCTTAAGAGATTGCAGAAAAAAATGCTTTTAGAAGCCTCTGACGATCAGGCAACTCAGCTGGGATCGCCAGAGGCTTTTCAAAGCATTTTTTTCCTACAACCCTTAGGCCGAAGAGGTTGTAGAAAAAATGCTTTTAAAAGTTTTTTTAAAAAGCCTCTGATGAGGTAGGCGGGGTAAGCGGACCGGTTCGGGGGCGTGGCCAGCCAATGTTATTACCGGTTCTCCGAACTATTACAAATTTTTACTACCAGTTCTTGTGAACCAGTGTGAACTGGGAGCAACCCACCACTGGCTCCTCTGCTGTAGAAAGTCTCCAATGATTTTAGCATATTCATAGGGGAGGTTACTATTGCCATTAGCTGGTACCATATGTAATTCATCTTGTCTTTCTGGGACACGGGTGTCAAACTCGCCATGTCACATTGCTGTCACATGATGTTTCACAATGTTTTTCCCATTTATGGAGCTGGGATGGATGTGGCCTGTGCATGATGCATCCAGCCTGCAGGCTGCCAGTTTGACACCCCTGTTCTAGGCAGTGGTGGGATTCTGCCGGTTCTAGGCGGTTCGGCCAAACCGTTTGTTAAATTGCTGGCTCGCCCCGCCCCTTGCCCCGCTCCTCCGCACCACTGGGCAAGGGGTGGGCGAGCCAGCAATTTAACAAACGGTTCGGTGTTTTTTTATAATTTTATTGGCCTCGCAGCTGCCGCGGGGCTTCAAAGAGCCGCCCTACAGCTGATCAGTGTTAAAAGAAAAGAAATGAGTAGATCGACGCCTGTAAAAATAAATGGGTAGACCCAGTGGTGGGATTCTACTTCGGTAGAACCGGTTGTTAAGTAGTTAAGTAGTTAAGCCAGTGGTTGCCAAGCGGCGGTGAAATGCCTTAGGGGGCGGTAAGAGGCAAGGGGGGCAGCAGGAGGGGCTAAATGGAAAGGAGGGTGGCCCTTTGCCCTGTGCCTCGCAGCACTTACCTCCTTGCAAACAAACAGCAAGAAAAAACAGCCCCTTCAGCTTCAGCATCGGTTAATTAGCACAAGTTGATTAGATCGGCCTCCTGCCTCTCAGCTGATTTGCTCTCAGCTGTTTTGCTAGGGCTCTATTGCTCTTTGCAAAGAGTGCTCGAGCAGATTTTTCCCCCCCTAGCCTAGCTATGCTGAAAAAGCGAAACCGAAAGTAAAGCAGGGTCTTTGCTGCAACGTGACAAAATGAGGCAGAGAGAGATTTCTTTTTCTTTTTCCTCACCAAAAAAGGTAGGTGCAAACAATGGGAAATTTAGGGCAAAAGAGGAGAGTTCAAGATTTTAAAACACAAAAGAAAAAAAGCTCTATTTAACTAGGGAACTGTAATAATTGAGATACTATTAATTGTATATTGTGTTGAAAGCAGAAATGGTTAAGTTGTGGTTTGGAGGAATATATGGGGGAAATTATTTGGTTTATTATTATTGATAAATATAATTGATTTGTAAGAAATTGGATTGCATGGAAATAATTGGAATATTCATGTTCATATTGATTAATATACAAGAAAGATAGTTATATAACTAATTGATTTATATTAAAATGTTGAATTTGTATTAAACAACTGTAATATTACATAATTAACCAATGTGAGGATGGATATAAAAATAGATGACAATGGGAAGTGGTATAATATAGAATAGAAGGGAAAAATTGAATTTGATTAAGATAGAGATGAGGATGAAGGGTAATATTGGTTTTTTTAAAAAATAGATGAGGAATAAATATGGCAAAAAGGAAATATAGAAATTGTAAATTTAATTGAAATGACTAAACACTGTTTAAATTTGTGAACCGGCCAAATACTCTGTTCAAAGAAAATACATTGTATGTTTGTATGTGTGTTTCTAATTATTGCTATTTATTCATATTTGTTCTCTTTTATTCTTTAAAGTTTAACAATTCATTCTTTATCTTAATATCTTTATATTTGTTTGGGGTTGGCTTTCTTCCCTTTCATCTTTTTTATTGTACAGCAATCTTTCTCCTCAAACCTACCACCTCTCTCTTTTCTTTCCTTCTTACTTTCTCTTTCCCCCCTCTTCTTCTCCTCCCTACTTCTTCTTCCTTTCTCCTTCTCCTCCTCTCTTCCTCCCTCTCTTACCCTCACTCTGTCATGATAAAATGCCTAACTACTATGTCTCCCTGATCACCCGGACCTTCAAGGGTTAACTAACCACATATCCCATAATCCTTATAACCACTCCTTACCTCTTAACCCCTCCTCCTGGGTACAAAAGGTCCAACCGCATGGTCCACAGGACATTCCAGATGTATACCTGAAAGAGAAAGGTACAAGGTCAGTGACCTCCAGTACCATCAGATCAATAATAAAGCTACAGAAAAGAATTGGAGTCTGTCTCTGAGTTATTGGGCTAGATCCAGCTTTTTAACAAAATGGTAGCAGAGGTCGGTTGCCCATAACTCCAGACAATGACTGAACCCAACACCTACCCTGAAGAAGCAAACAGAGCACAGACCAGAGCTCTTACCAAGAAGATGGCTGAGAAGCTTGCAACCAAAGCCACAGCCATGGAGGAGACAGAAGCTGGAAGCGAGCAGGACTCCAGCCTGGACTCACAATCAGATGAAGAGGGGCCATCCAAGGAGATCACCGCCCCGGAAGAAGAAACAGCACAGAAAATGAACAAATTCAAACTCTCCATCCTGAAACTGATGGAGGCAAGCAGCGACAAAGAAAACCTCATCGCGGACCTTCAAAGCCTCTTCGAGCAACAAGAAGCAGCGATTGAGGCCCCAAAGAGCACCGAGAAAGAAAAGCCAGCAAAAAAGGGTAAGCCACCCCAACCTGATGATCCTGAGCCGGCAGAACCCATTTCCGTGCCCCCTTCCCGGCGGCCATCTTGGGGCGAGCACCAGCCAATGGGAAGCCAGGATTTGAATCCCTTGGCACGAAAATGCCCAAACCCCGAAACAGACGAGGGGGACTCAGAAAGCGACTACGAAGAGCCCAGCTCTGAAAGCGACCACGAAGAGACCACAATAATAAAAAGAAAAACGCCTACCGATCTCGAATTGCAAAAGGCAATCGAGACCATCACCGCTGCCCTAGGCTCCGCTTTCGAGCCTCCCGCGGCACTCAATAAACCAAAGAAAAATCCTGGAAAGCACAAGAAGGCCAGGACAACCAACAAAAACCGGGCAACCGAGTCACAATCAACTAAAAACGCCGCACACACCAACAACCGGCACAAAAGACCGCCCACCTGCAGGAAAAATCAACCGCAGGACTCGAACTCGCCACCCACTACACCAACAACGCGAGGCCCGAGGGAGAAGAGGAGAACCGGCTACTCACCCACGCCACGACATCCATCAGGCCAGTCCACGCGACCAGGGACCAGCGACCACGAGGGAGGATCCGCCGCCGCCGCCGCCATTACCGCCGAGCCGCTGAGTGCAGGGAATCCTCAACCTACGACCTCCGCTGCTGCCGCGCCGCCGACCCACGAAAGTCCTCGACTTGCGACCGCGTCGCCTCCTCACCTTCTGCCCTTCTTCGCCGGGGATCCGGCCATCCAGCAGTGGTGTCCAGCCTCAGGGGGGATCTTCGGACCCACCGGGAGCGGGTCCAGCCTCCCACCGACAGGCCTAGGCCTAGGCCTGGGAGCTCCAGCAACAGGAACCTCACCCGATGGACTCCAACGCGGAATGAGCTTCGCGCATGCCCAGTACCTGCCTGTAACAAGAGAAGCAAGTTACATAGATCCAAGCAAGTACAGAATGGCCACAGACATCCCAAAGCCTTATTGTGAGTTTAATCACATTTTGGACCATGGACAGCTCCCCCCAGTAAGTAACCTTACTAATATTTCAGGGGCAAATTATACCAATTTACCAAAATTGCAGTTAGATGGGGGTAATATTATAGAATGGAGCCAGCAATTAAGAGTTGCTCTCATGAGAGAGAATGCACTGTTCCTAGCTAACAAACCTCCCCAAAAGCCCTGGTCACTGGAAATTGACTGCATTCATCACAGGGCATTTTGTATCATGTTAACCTCCATTCCATCTGCTATGTATCCATCTATTGAGGACAATCTAACCGTTTATGATATTATGCAAAAACTATGTAACCTGTTTTATAGCCAAAGCAGAGCCACTACCACTAGACTATCTAGGGAGTTCCACTCCACTAAGCATAAGGCAGGGGTCCCCATGAGTGAGTACATCTTAAAAATGAATGCTGCAAGGGCAGAACTCATGCAGAGGGGGGAAATCATCACTGAAGAGAGCATGATAAGCATAATCATAAACTCTCTTGATAGCAGCTGGGACATCTTCATGACCCAACTAAATAGCCTCAACTTGCAATACCTCACACTAGGCGCACTGACCAGTCAGCTCGTTGCAGAGGACACTCTGAGGAGGGAACGCCAACTAGCCAAAGGGGACCGTAGACCCACAAAAAGGGTGGATTTCCAGGATAGGGCCAGGGATACCTCAGAATGTTATTCTTGTGGATCAAGGAACCACTTAAAGAAGGATTGCCCCAGGAACCATAGGGATAGGGGACAGCACGACAGTAGAGGGGGAAGGTCACCTGAACGCAGGCACCCAAAGGAAAGAGGGCGAGGGTGGTCACCCAACCCGAGGAAACACCACGAGCGCAGAGACCACTCCAGGGACAGTAACTCTGGCTCCATGTATGGGATCAGGCACGATGACCCAAATGACAAACATAAGGCAGGGAGAAACACATGGCTCCTGGATTCAGGGGCCACAAGTCACACTACTTGTAACCCAGAGCTGCTAGACTCACTCACAGAAATAGACTCAGAAGTAAAGGTGGCAAACCAAAGCAAGGTCAAAGTAGTGGGAAAAGGAAACGTACACATCACACAGGTAGGGGACCTAAAAGGAGTACTGTACGTACCAGAAATCCCCCACAACGTGCTAGCCATCACAAAGCTGACACGAGACACAAATATAGAAATAAAATTTAAAGATGGAAAGGCACACTTGATCAAGCAAGGGAAAGAGATAGGAAAGGTAACCATACACGAGGGGCTTCCCTACTTCACACCCAACGCAAGGGAGGAAGAAGGCATTGATGCCAGCACAAACCACAAGGTAGATAAGTATCCAGAAACAGAGGGGGTGCAGCAGGAGGCAGGATGTAGCCATGAGAAGACAAACAAGTCTGTATCTATCGGCAAACCATTGCATGATAACTGCGCCCACCTCCTCCACAGGAGACTGGGACACATAAGCTTCCCCATTGTAAAGAAAATGACGGAATGTACCGAAGGTCTCAAAGTAAAGGACTGCGAAAACTACTTAGAGTGTTCAGTTTGTAAGCGTTCCAAGATCAAGGTTAAGGCCATCCCCAGGGGATCCAAACGAACCACGGAATACCCCTTCCAATTGGTGCATATGGACTTGGTAGGGCCAATGAAACCCTCTGTAGGACATAGGAAGCGATTCTTCCTCACGATTGTGGATGACTACACCAGATACGGGTATGTCTACTCCCTCAGACACAAAAATGAAGTGTTCCAAAGGTTTAAGGAATTCCACAGAAGAGTAGATATGCAACATAACATGAGAATAAGGCAGATAATGACTGATAGGGGCTCAGAATTCATGGCCAAAGAATTCACAAGGTGGCTGAGGGAGCAGGGCATAGCGCATTACACCTCTTCACCTTTCTCTCCCTTTCAAAATGGAGTCTCAGAGAGAAAGAACGGGATGTTGCAAACCATGATGAGATGCGCCCTGGAGGATGCTGGGATGGGGCAGCATTTCTGGTCAGAGGCATTACACTACGCTAATTACACCCTGAATAGACTGTGGTCAAGCTCTATCAATAAGACACCATACGAGATGCTATACAACAGAAAGCCCAACATTGCACACTTGCACATATTCGGCGCCCCAGCTGATGTCCACATTCCCAGACAGCTAAGAAGAAAAGGGGAGAAATTATCAAAAAGGTTAAGGTTCGTGGGTTACGAACCGGGCACAAAGGGCTACAGATTTGTCGACAACAATAACCGTTTTGTGGTTTCCAGATCAGCCAGTTTCCACGAAAACGCAAACTGGTCGAGGGTACACTCCAATGACATCCCAGCCAATAGGGTCACGTTCGAGCATGGCCAAGAGGAAAGGGAGGTCAGAGAGGTCACAGGGCACAAAGCCAACCACCGCAAGGCAAGCGTCAAAGGTTGGAAAGAAGGGCACCCTTCACTGAAGATAGATGACCTGACAGACAAAGAGGCAGACATCATGCAGGAGACCGAGCCAACCCCCAGCAGGCCAATCAGAGAAACCAGAAACAAGCTACCAAAGAAGTTAGAGGACTACGTTATGACCATCCACAACACCCATTTCACGCCCAGCTCATATGAAGACATCCTCGGGCTCCCCCGGGAGGAGAAAGAAAAATGGATGCTTGCCATGGAGAAGGAGATGGAAAGCCTAAGGGACCTCCAGGTATACTCACCTGCCCAAGTTCCAGAGGACAAAAAACCAATAGGAACCAAATGGGTGTTCAGGGTTAAGACATTAGAGGACAACAAGGTCCTATACAAGGCAAGACTAGTCGCGCAGGGTTTCGCCCAAAGATACCCCGAAGACTATACGGACACCTACTCGCCAACCGTCAGGGCAGAGAGCGTCAAGAGCGCCCTGGTGGTGGCCACCATCCTGGGCTTGGAGGTCTTCCAATTCGACGTACAAACAGCGTACTTGCACGCCGAGCTGGATAAAGAAATATACGTCAAAGCCCCGCCTGGGTACAACAAAGACGAGAACCAAACCTGGCTGCTGAATAAAAGCCTGTACGGGCTCAAGCAGTCGGGCAAAAGGTGGTATGACTGCTTAGCCAAGGCCCTCAGATCCATGGGCTTCGAGGCCACCTCAGCTGACAAATGCTTCTTTACGAGGAGAGAAAACGACTCATTCGAAGGTGTGCTCGTTTACGTGGACGACATCTTGTACATCAGCAAGCACAAGAACAGGTGTGACAAGTTCGCCACTGACCTGGGTAGCCACTTCTCCTTAAAGTCACTTGGAAAGATTGACAGATACCTAGGGGTCCAAGTGATAAAAACCAACAAGGGCTTCCGCCTCTCCCAGAGAGAAAAGATCATCGAGCTGCTGTCCAAATGCAACATGTCCGAAGCAAAACCCAGCGAGACCCCCATGCAACCCGAGTTCCTGAAGACCATGTATGAGGAATCTGAACCTTTCACAGACAACAAACTGTATAGATCAACGATAGGGTCACTGCTGTACATATCCAACTGGACCAGGCCCGACATCGCCTTGGCCGTCAACCTGCTGTCCAGACATGTAAGCAAACCTACGGTAACACACTGGAACGCCATCAAAAGACTACTTAGATACTTAAAATTTAGTGCGGATGCCCTACTCTGCCTAGAACCAGAAACATCCGAGAAACCAAAGCTAACCTGCTATGCTGACGCTGACTGGGCTGGGGACATAGAGTGCAGAAAAAGCACCTCAGGCTACGTGCTACTACTCAACAATTGCCCCATCCACTGGTACACTGGAAAGCAAAAACTGGTGGCCACATCAACTACGGAAGCAGAATTCGTTTGCCTATCAAAGGCCGCAAACAATTTAGTATGGTTCGATGACCTGCTCTGCGACATCTGGGCTGAACCCTCATATCCAATAGTTATCCACGAAGACAACAAGGCAGCGATAGAGATCTCTAGGGCCGATGCCATAGGTCAGCGTTCTAGGCACATTGACATTAAATACAAACACGTCAGGCAGTTTTCAGAGATAGGCTTCATTAGGGCAGTGCACTGTGACACAGAGGAGCAAACAGCAGATATTCTCACTAAACCCCTACCACATAAACAACATGCTTACCTCATGTCAAAAATGCGTGTTTGCTTGTAATTCATGCCTGAACCAGTGTATTCTCTGTATGTGTGCTAACACCGCCTCAGGTACCCAGTTAGGCATTTAGAGGGGGTTTTGTCATGATAAAATGCCTAACTACTATGTCTCCCTGATCACCCGGACCTTCAAGGGTTAACTAACCACATATCCCATAATCCTTATAACCACTCCTTACCTCTTAACCCCTCCTCCTGGGTACAAAAGGTCCAACCGCATGGTCCACAGGACATTCCAGATGTATACCTGAAAGAGAAAGGTACAAGGTCAGTGACCTCCAGTACCATCAGATCAATAATAAAGCTACAGAAAAGAATTGGAGTCTGTCTCTGAGTTATTGGGCTAGATCCAGCTTTTTAACACACTCCTACTCTAATTTCCCTTCCCTTCCTTCATCCCTCTCTATTGCTGTATCCTTTTATGCATATGGACTACTCAGAGGGCTGAAAAAGTTATTTTTGACTGGTCCTCGCACTTTTGACCAGTCCTCGAACTTACGACTGTCCTCACATTTTACGTTTTTGCCTTATCTTGTCACCATGGTGAAGAGAAGCAGTTGTGAAATGAGTGACACGGTTGTTAAGAATGCTACAATGGGCATGATGACTAGTCATAAGTGCGAAGACCAGTCAAAAGTGCGAGGACCTGTCAGAAATCACTTTTTTCAGCCCTCTGGGTAGTCCTTTTGTGCACATGGACTACTCAGAGGGCTGAAAAAGTTATTTTTGACTGGTCCTCGCACTTTTCACCAGTCCTCGAATTTACGACTGTCCTCACATTTTACGTTTTTTGCCCTATCTTATCACCATGGTGAAGAGCATTTATGCTGCACGGGCATAAATGTGAAGATGGTCGTAAGTGTGAGGACCAGTCAAAAGTGCGAGGATCTGTCAAAAATGACTTTTTTCAGCCCTCTGAGTAGTCCCTATACACATAGCCATGGCCACCCGGTCACATGACCAGCTAGCCATGCCCACCTAGTCACATGACCAAGCCACACCCACAAAATAAGCCACACCCACAGAACTGATAGTAAAAAAATTTAGAACCCACCCCTGGTTGGGGGTCACCACAACATGAGGAACTGTATTAATGGGTCGCGGCCTTAGGAAGGTTGAGAACCACTGCACTAGAGCAATATGCTTTGCAGGATTTTGGATCAGTGTCATTATTTGTGCAAATTGTTCGATTATTTATTAAATTTAGAATTTTTGAATAACCTCTCCACTCATTTTCAACCATAGTGCTGTTAATTGAATTTTCAAAAGGACAAACTTGTATTTTCCTTGGGTTTGTAGAACATTCTGCTGCATTCCCTAACGTCAAGGTCAGGGATGAGAAAGAAGAAAGTTGGCAACTGTCCAAATTAGACACAGCATTTTGGCATGTGTAAGCTGTTGAAATATTATTTAAGATAGATTTCGCCTTTTGATTGGAGAATATCCGAATGGAGATAATTCTAAATGTGTTGGAAAAGGTCTTTATTTTAATCAACAAATTATTAAATTGCTGAAAAACTTCCAATTTCTATTCATAGTGGGAAGCCAGTTAATATGAACAAAATCAATGGCATGAGGCTGGCGGTGAAAATAGCTGGCACAAGGAAATACAAACAGAGCCTCTGGAAGCCTATCTTCCTCCATTAATGTTATTACAACAGACAGAACTAACTGATTATGTTGATATATGAAGAGAGAATCCTTTTTATTGTCTGGGCTTGAAGGACCAGAAGATTTGCTATTTTCAAACTGCTAATCAGTTGGTGGGATAATCAGCACAAAAACTCACTGAGAATAATTTGCTTTCTGTAACTCTGGTAACCATCCTTTGTAGGCATCAAACTCTTTCTTCAAATCATTAAGTTTTACAGAGATAATTGCTAATTGCTCAGACAAGGCTATTATAGTCTGAGCAGTTAAAAAGCAATGTTTAGCCAAAAAAAACCTGAAGGGTGCTGTGTTCAGGTGGTATTATTTAACTCATCAGCTAGAATCTCATTGGAGGTATAGAGCCAAATATTAGCTTCAAAATTTGCAGTGTGCTTGCTACAGGCAATCTTTTCCTGCAAGTCATCACTCCACAGGAATATGTCTCCCACATTGCAAAGGGAGTTTGGTGTTTTGATGCAGTTTGAATCTGCATACAGAATTCCAAGAGCTTAAATCTACAGTTGAAATTTTTGAGGTAAGAAGGTAATAAATGGTTGTTTTGCTGGTTCTGCTGGTTTTTAAAGTTCCAGGACTGGTTCTGTGTTTCTATTTTTTCTTATTTATACTGCAGGACTTTTAAATAAAGCTAATAAAATAAACAAAATATTAAGACAGATTATAATAAAATAAACAAGGGATAAAGAGAAGGAAACAATAACAAAATTCAAATTAAATAAGAGCTTGTATGGAACTTACAAAAAGTACACATAGTTCAGTTCCTTCTTGGAAAAAAACAGATGTTTTGTTATTAGTTTTATAATTTACAAGACATTTTCAAGATTTAATCAGTTTCAAAAATTTCTCTATCTCTCTAAATTATTTCTAAGTGTCTGATGAAAGACAGACTTACTGAAGGATAACAGGGTGATGAAAGAATTAGATAAAATGGATGTGGTAAAAAATGTAAACAGTTAAGAAACTTGAATTAAAAAAATTATTTGAAAGTAACTGTTTTACAAATAATGAATATTTGAAAAATAGTAGAAAGTCATAACAGCTATCATATTAATACAATGCTTGATTGTATTATTAAAATACATTTGGCCTATAAAGAGATTTGAAATCTCTTTGAACTATGGTTGTATACTTGAAAGACATTTCTAGATTGTGATTTGTTGTTGTTAGTTGCGAAGTCCAACCCATCACGACCCCATGGACAACATTCTTCCAGGCCTTCCTGTCCTCTACCATCCTCAGGAATCCATTTAATCTCCCACCTACTGCTTCTGTGACTCCATCCAGCCACCTCATTCTCTGTCATCCCCTTCTTTTGCCCTCAATCTTTCCCAGCATTAGGCTCTTCTCCATTGAGTCCTTCCTTCTCATTAGGTAGCCAAAGTATTTGAGTTTCATCTTCAGGATCTGGCCTTCTAAAGAGCAGTCAGGGTTGATCTCCTCTAGGACTGACCGGTTTGATCGCCTTGCAGTCCAAGGGACTCGCAGGAGTCTTCTCCAGCACCATAGTTCAAAGGCCTCAATTCTTTGGCGCTCAGCCTTTCTTATGGTCCAACTTTCACAGCCATATATTGCAACTGGGAAAACCATAGCCTTGACTATATGCACTTTTCTTGGCAGGGTGATGCTTTTTAGAATGCTGTCTTGATTTGCCATAGCTTTCCTCCCCAGGACCAAGCATTTTTTAATTTCTTGGCTGCAGTCCCCATCTGTGGTGATCTTGGAGCCCAGGAAAATAAAATCTGTCACTACCTCCATTTCTTCCCCATCTATTTGCCAGGAATTGAAAGGGCCGGATCCCATGATCTTAGTTTTCTTAATGTTGAGTTTCAAGCCAACTTTTGCACCCTCCTTCTTCACCTGCATCAAGAGGCTCTTTAGTTCCTGTTTAGTTTTTGCCATTAAAGTGGTATCATCTGCATATCTGAGGTTGTTGATATTTCTCCCGGCAATCTTAATTCCAACTTTTGATTCATCTAGTCCTGCTTTTCTCATTATGTGCTCTGCATGTAAGTTAAATAGGCAGGGTGACATTATACAGCCTTGCTGGACTCCTTTCCCAAATTTGAACCAAACAGTGGTTCTGTGTCGAGTTCTCACTGTTGCTTCTTGACCCGCATATAGGTTTCTCAAGAGACAAATAAGATGGTCTGGTATGCCCATCACTTTAAGAACTTGCCACAATTTGTTGTGATCCATACAATCAAAGGCTTTGGCATAGTCAATGAAGCCGAAGTAGTGTTCTGACCTAGGCTTCCTGAGAAAGCATATATCACAATCTTAATTCCAAAAAACCTCTTTTATTGAGACTGCTGTGAATTATGGTCATTCACAGCCGGTAATGATTCACAGTCTATGAAGATTCCGACAGATGTCTGCTCGAGTTGACACAGTCTTTCAGGGTAATGTTAATAAGCACCCACCTTTATCTCCCTTGAAATGCTGCCAGAGACCTAATTGTCAATTAGTTTTGCAAGGTCAAACAGAGCACAGAATTGAGCACAGAGTTAAACAGACTTCTCCCGGCAGAGACCTGAAAATCAGCTGGCTGGTGGGAGGTGCGCGGCGGTGGAGCTGACCTGGGTTTAGTTCGTGTGCCCACAGAAGTGGCTCCGCGTGCCACCTGTAGCACACGTGCCATAGGTTCGCCATCATGGTTCCAGGATGTCTGGCTCGAGGTTAGTGACCACCCCATTGTGGTTATCAGGGATGTTAAGCTCGTTCTTATATAGTTCTTCTGTGTAATTTTGCCACCTCTTCTTAATCTCTTCTGCCAGTTAGGTCCCTGCCATTTTGGTCCTTTATCATACCCATCTTTGCATGAAATGTTCCCTTCATATCTCCAATTTTCTTGAAGAGATCTCTGGTCCTCCCTACTCTATTGTTTTCTTTTATTTCTTTGCACTGTTCATTTAAGAAGGCATTCTTATCTCTTCTAGCTATTCTCTGGAATTCTGCATTCAATTGGGTGTATCTTTCTCCTTTGCCTTTCGCTTTCCTTCTTTCCTCAGCTATTTGCAAAGCTTCCTCAGACAGCCATTTTGCTTTCTTGCGTTTCTTTTTCTTTGGGATGGTTTTAGTTGCTACCTCTTATACAATGTTGTGAACCTCCGTCCATAGTTCTTCAGGCACTCTGTCTATAAGATTTAGTTCCTTAAATCTATTTGTTACCTCTACTGTATATTCATCAGGGATGTGATTTAGTTCATACCTGAGTGGCCTAGTGCTTTTCCCTACTTTCTTCAATTTAAGCCTAAATTTTGCAACGAGAAGCTCATGATCTGAGCCACAGTCAGCTCCTGGTCTTGTTTTTACTGACTGTATAGAGCTTCTCCATCTTTGGCTGCAGAGCACATAGTCAATCTGATTTCTGTGTTGACCGTCTGGTGATGTCCATGTGTAGAGTCATCTCTTGGGTTGTTGGAAAAGATTGTTTGCTATGAACATCATATTCTCTTGACAAAATTCTATCAGCCTGTGCCCTGCTTCATTTTGTACTCCAAGGCCAAACTTGCCTGTTATTCCGGTTATCTTTTGGCTTCCTACTTTAGCATTCCAATCCCCCATGATGATAAGGACATCATTTTTTGGTGTTAATTCTATA